GTGAAGGAGGGGGGGGGGGGTCTCTATGTCTACATGGGCAAGGTGAAAGTGTCTTTTAAACACATGAAGTCAGGGAAATCGTTTTCCTACAGGACTCAAAAATGAATTGATTTGTTTTATTGTGTTGTTTTAGTTCTGAACACAATACAGAAGAAAAATGTCTACAAAATGCTTTTACATTGCCTTTGAATAATTAAGGAAATGGTGTTCATTAATTCAGTCCTCATCCGTTTCTGCCAGTATGTAAAAAGGGTTTTCGTGAAGCAAAGTGTTCTTGTGACTTCATATATCGGGCCAAAGAGACAGCTGACAGCAGTATCACACAAAGGCCTCCTTCTTGTGGGAATTCCCATGTGTACATGATTCTTGGATGCATTGTGTGACACATGTCGGGGTAATCTGTCTAGACATCTGTGCCAAGGTTTAAAGTAAAGCTATTTAAAGGACAACTCTAAGGAACTGTTAACATGGACATTAATTGCAAATGATCGATATGCATGTAAAATGTTTCCTAAATGCTTAAAGTGCAGCTGAAGCCAAAACTTTTTTTTCTTTCTTTTGTGGATAGAGTGGAGAGGGATGTGAATACCTGTCTTAGGTGTCATATTGGGGACGCAGATTGCCGTCTGTGTCCCCAATATGGAGATTTGGCCTGGTGACTGTTATCACTGAAAGTGTAAAAAATCCACATTACGGGTTGTTCCACCAGAACTGGAATGGATGGGAAAGCTTCCAACTAGCTCTGGTGACCCTGCTGTCCACTAGGGATTTCCCTCACTTTGGAGGGACTATCAGACTGGGAGTGAGGGGAAATCTCCCCAATGGGAAAAAAAGCTGGATGGGTTTATGGCCCTCCCTTACTCTACTCAAAGCGAAAAAAGTTTTGGCTTTAATCTTTGAAATGTAAGTAAATATGTTTGGTCGCATGTTGTAGCCAGTAGATGCCTAAAGTCTGCAAACTAAGGTAATGGGAACACTTCCACTGCTCTCAGTGCTCTGTGTGAAATCCTTCTGCAGCCATCAGCGCTTCCTTTTGATCCAATGTGTCTTTTTTTTGTTTTATATAAACCCAACAGATGCAAACACCAGAGTGCTGGATTAAATTTGGCCTGCTATGGCAGATCTAACGGGGTTAACTTTAGCACATACGGCAAACTTTGCTTAAAGTGAACTCGTAACACCTGGATCAGCAGAAACGACCTTCATTGAAAATCACATGCCAATGATCAGTAGATCGAAAGAGATGGGCAGCTGAAGTTTTAAGAAAATCTAAGCTTTTCCTTTTAAATGTTGAGCATAGCTCCTCCCCTTTCCACATCTGCAACCACCTATGGTGTTAAAGGGGCTCAGCTTTTATGGGAAGGCCATAATTTGCTTATAAGTTCAGCTGTCTATATATCTCTGGATCTCCCAAAAGTGTGGACAAGCAGCTTTTCACTGAATGATATGCTTAGATTGAATTGCCCAGGTTTTTGACAGTTTTACTTCTATGTTGAATGCTACAAAAGCCGTGAAAGGGACCTGGCACAGCGCTGCGCCCCTTCTTTCTATGCAAAGTGATTTTGTACAATGCAGAGGCACATTTGTGAGGACCAGTTATAGATGCAGTAAGATGCAAATTCGGGCAACACATCGAGTCCTCTGCTGAGAGTGAACCTTCTAGAAGTTGAAACCAGGGCCTCATCTCTGCAAAGCCACAGTGCTAATCAATAAACCACTCTGCTGCCAGTTATATGAAATACTTCCTCCTTATCTTTCTTCCAGGTTAATGGAGACGGCCCGTGAAATGACCAGAGAATCCTTACCTATTAAGTGTCTGGAAGCCGTTATTCTGGGAATGTATCCTTTCATGGTTATACTAAGCCTCTTTTATTGCTGTCGTCAGCTGAACTAATCCCATGATCCTTTGCTCAGTCAGTTGTCAAGTGCACAAATGTTATGACATAATAGGAGTATGGGAGAAGCAGAGATTGTATAAATATGCTTTGCATTGTGTTTCCAAAGGTGTGAACATTGATTAAAGGTTCATCCAGGCAACTACAGCACTTGGCAAATTAAGGAAAAATCTCTGCAAGGCTGGTGAGATAGCAGTTTGAGCTTCTAGGGGGCACCAGCCACATGTTTTCAACCACTGCCCAGTTCCCCCAACCATGCAGTTTGAAAGGCTTTTCCAAGACCAAAAACATTTTTTTGTTCATCGTGCATTGCTTCTCAGGTCACTGACCCAGATGGCGCTGTCAAAGTTTGGGCTGCATTATTCCATCAATTTCTATTGTTTCTGCAAGTATGATGACAGCTCGGGCCAAGCAGCACCAATTTAAGATCATTAAAATGAACATGTGTTATATAACAACACAGAAGGAAAAAGTTCACTTGCCTTCTGCGTTCTGCAGATACACATACCTTCCATTTGGTCCTCCACCGCTCTGTTCGGCTTCCAGGAGCAAATGGAGTAACGGTACAATCTGCATCTTGTAGCTTACACAGGACTAAGAACTCTCTATCCCCCCTCGTGGGAGAAAAGGTAATGCGTCTCATGCTTCCCCATATCCAAAGTTAGTATCTCCCATACCTTTTTATAGTTTTCAAATTTCCTTTAACAGCAATAAATATATGTGAAGCTGGGGAGGGTGACAGTTAAGTGGTTACATGTTTCTTGAATTATAGTGAGCCTCCTAGCTCCTCTTTACTGGAAACTGCACCCAAAATAGATAGGCTGTGGACAAAGGACTAGTCACCGGTATTGCCTGCAGGTTCCCTGCAGCCAATCTGATCTCCATTACTGACTTGTCATGTCTTGTTCTGCATTGTGTCTCTACTTGGAGGCTGCCATCTTGGTAGAGGAGCAGGGCTTATCTTCCTCATTGCAGAACTGGTCCCTGATAATTAAGAAGCAACAGGAGAAGTGGGGGAAGCACCAATACACAGAATGTATGAAGCAGGGAGATCATGCATTGCAAGTACTCAGGTACATCTTCCTCTCCAGCAAGGAGAACCGTGAGCAGCACAGTAGTAACATCGGTAAAACTCACTTCGAATCACCTGTGACTAGCAGTCAGAGGCTGCAGTGGCTGTAAAGGAATGCCTAGGCCTGGTCACATGTCTGGAAGTACAAGGCTAATTTTCAGGAGAAATTCAAGAGAAAATGTAAATTTTTTAAAGATACTCATTAGAAACAATGAACATTTCTAGATGTTCCGGATAATACACAAATTCTTCATTTTTGGAGTGTAGATCCTCTTTAACATCCCCACACAATTCCCGCTATAGTAAATTTGCTGAATTTAGCTTTTGAGGTTTGATGATGCCTCACTCTCCTCTTACACTGCTTCCCTTAAGTGCCATTATGGAATATACAACATTGATCTTACATGAGGACTCGGTAAGGATTTTGAAAAGGCACCCTATAACATTTTGCTTATATTTTTTATGCTTTTATATACACCATCCAGTTTTCACAGTGATGTACACCACATTCAGGGACAGTTTTCTGTGCTCAGTTATATTTGCTCATTCTTCTGCTGGGGGATGTGTTCAAGGTCCCAGATCGCTAACCTTGAGATTAGGACCAGACGCCTCCACCAAGTCCTTCTGTGTTATTTTCAGAGCATTTTCTGTTCTGTTTAACCACGTTTGTTTGGATTTTGTTGCGACATGATATAACCCGAGCTACATAAAGTACGAGCACTGGCACATCTACATCCTAAAATCCAGAACCACAACAGAAGGAGACCGTGCACTGTTTTCTGTGCACATTGTTAACTTATTATTTTATTGTATCATTTAGTTAAAAATAATGTTTAATATTACTTTCACTTTTTTTTACTTGCTTGCGGTTTCAAGTTTTTTGATTTTTGTACTTCATGTGCAGAATTGTAAAGCACGCTCTAAGGTTTATTTGTATATGAAGGAATGTGATGAGCAACATTGCCTAATTACTGCCAGGTTAAAAGAAACTGGGCTTAAAGTCCATCTCCAGGCACAAAAAGCTAAATCTGGACCACCCCTCCCACCTTTTGACCATAAAAAAAAAAGACGTTTTCACCTCTGGACACCGGTGATCCTGTGCAGGCCCGGTAGCATCAGGTTTTGTTGCTGCCCTTCGTCGTAATGTCACTATGTTGTCGCTAGGACACCGATGGACAACCAATTGGAAGTGCCCATGTCACCAGGCAGCCATGAAGACACCCAAAGTAGGATCATCTTACTCTTCACCAAGCAAGAATGAAGACTGCTCAGGATCTCCAAATGCAGTTCAAATGCGCCTATTTATTGACGTAGATGCAGCCTATCACACTGGTGCAATGTTTTGGGGTCTCGCAGGATCCCCTTCCTCAGGCAAAAACATGTGATGATCATGTGATGATTTTCCTCAGGCAAAAACATGTGATGATCATCATCACATGTTTTTGCTTGAGGAAGGGGATCCTGCGAGACCCCAAAACGTTGCACCAGTGTGATATGCTGCATCTACGTCAATAAATAGGCGCATTTGAACTGCATTTGGGGTGTCGGTGTCCCTGTTTCTACCTATGCATGTAACGGATGCCGCCGTTGACTACTGCAGCACCCATCCTGATTTTTGTGAAACAAGCGGTCAGGAGTACGATGGGTCCATGGACTTTTGTCTGCTCAGGACCTAGCACATAATGTGGTCATTCCTGAGAATTTGGGGCATTTATATGCATTCTCTATGTGTTTTTTCAATGCAACGCAGCATAAATTGTATGCTAATGAAACGCATCACAAGCTTTACAGTGAAGTATGTCTACTCTGGGCATGTTACTTCACATAAAGCTTGCCCCAAAAAAACAAAAACGGATTACAAGGAAAACGGAATGTACAGTCGCAGATCAATGGAACCCCTGGGGACCTGCGAGTTCTTCCAATTTTGATATGAACGAGCCCTGGCATGACCAGGCCTTTAATTGCCTCCATTTTTATATGAGCGTATGCCAAAGTGCATTTTGCAGCAGTATTTTACATTAGTATGGGATTGTTACACTAATGTAGCTCATTCAGTGATCCGAGATCCATCAAGCTTCTGCCGTTGTCTTTTGAGATTAAAATTGTGTGTATCTTCCTGCACTCCTTACCGGATCTCCTAGGAGATGATGTCTGTAATAGGGTGCTTGTAGCGACCACGGAGGCACCGTGTAGTCAAGTAGTAATTCCAAAAGATGTCACCAGCACTCCAAAAGTAGATTCAATATATTTTAATGACAACGGTCATTCAAAATCACAAGTACTTTCGGGGCCACGTTGGGTCCCCGACATTCTGAGCCTGATGACGGGGACCCAACGTGGCCCCGAAAGTACTTGTGATTTTGAATGACCGTTGTCATTAAAATATATTGAATCTACTTTTGGAGTGCTGGTGACATCTTTTGTCTTTTGAGATTAACCCCGAGTTGTAAATCTGAAAAGGAGCCAGAACTGAACCAAGAGAAAAGGCAGACCTCGTTGTGAATCCTCTCTTATGCCTTAATTGGTAATAGAACCCGTTTGGCGATGCTTCATTGCAAGATGTTACAAAAGACGGTTAATATCTGGCAGGGATAAAATTAACAATGCCTAAAATAAAAAAAATTTGTTTTCTTTTTTCTCCCGCTGATATTTCTTCGACGGACTGCTATACTCTGGAACAGAAAAGCCACGTTATATTGTGTTCTCATCTGTATGTGTAAAACTTCCCAGACCTGTACAGGATCGGACATGTTTGACATTGATATAATTTACTGCCAAAAGAAGCAAATCCGCTTTCTCTCGGTGGGATCTGGACAGAAAGATACTGTTGTTTCCTGATATACCAATATGATATCAATATGCCAATATGATCAACTTGAACTCTTTCATATCTTTCCATGAATCTTGTAATTTATGGTATAGTGACCCTGTAGAGCCTAACTCCAGAGAAATCCTTTTAAGTTTTTTTTGGATAGTGCGAAAACCAGACTTTCATCTGAAAATGCCAAGTGTCTGGCTGTCTCGTTGACCTAACTTTTATACTATCAACTCTATTTCAAAAGAGTTTAGTGCATATGATAGCATCACATTGGAATTCATCATGCACTGGTGTGATTTAACAAAGTGAATTCTGTTTGATGCTTTGAGTTAATGCTCTTAAGAATTCCCTCTAGAAACTGAGAGTTGGAGGTGTTCTATCAACCAGCAAAAGAGAACCAGACAGCGTCTTGTATCTTCATGCCAGATCAATTCTAAAGGCCCATTCACATCACATCGCAGTGCGCTGAAGTGCATGCATTTTCATACGTTGATGTCAGCCCACTGAAAATAAATGGGCTGCAGTGCACCTCAGTACATAAAAAAATAGACACTGCCTTCATTTATTTGCAGCGTGACGCACAGGGCACTATGAATGTTTTCTAACTAAACCTAACCCCGGATCCTAAGCCTAACTATAGCTGTGACACCCAGTAGTAACAGTTGTGTCTGAAGAAGAATCAGTGCGATAACTCCTGCTCTGAATTTAATCAGCAGCTTTGCGATGTAAGTAATGAAGCCATTAACCGATTGGTTGATATGGTCAGCGCAGACACTTTACTTGGTCTTGTTATAAATATTAGGTTGCCTGTCTTTTTAGGACATATTTGGACTTGTAGTTCATCCCAGCTGGAGGGGATTCAGGGAGCCAACCCTGCACCAAGATTCAGTTACTATGCAGAAAATGGTGATTTGTTTTACTCTGATTTAGTGGGTGGTGGACCTCCAGAAGAGTGCGTCTGAAAAGGTTTGGATGGTTTATGCCGAGAACAATTATACATTATGTGTGGAACAAGTCACTGCACCCCGTTCTTATCCTGTTGACATGGCAACTG